GCCTGGGCACGGCGACAGAGGTTTATGAGCGGCTTCAGCCGCCCTGACAGCGCTGGTATTTAGAGAGCACCGAAGGAAAGCAGGAGGGTTCGGCTGAGGCGGCAGCACGAGCCCCACGAGGCTTAGAGTGTTGTTAATTCCTTGTCCCTTGCACACAAAACCATCTTTTTAATTATTAAAAAGAAAAAGAAAAAAAGGATTCTGCTCCTAGTTTTCTTCCCACGCGGCTTTGGTGGAGAAGTGGATGTCATTCGAGCAGGACATTTAACCTGCAATGAAACATTAGTCACGCGTGGCTATAGGGTTACGGCTTCGCTCCGAGGAGCCCGGCCACGCCACAGCGCGAGGCTGCCACTGCTGCAGGAGTCACAGCAACACACAGCTGTGCGCTTCATGTTTGCCTGCTTGGTGTAATTTCAGGAGCTTCAAAATACCATGAGGTGTACTTTGAAAGGCTTGCTCGTCATTTGCGGGTTTTTGAGCAACAGAAAAAATGGGAAATACACTTAATTACTGCGGAGAGGCCTTGGAGATGATTCCTTGTGACCACTAGGATGCCTGGCTGCTTTAAAAAGACTTTATTTTCCCTGGCTTCTATAATAAGTTTTGCATCTTTTATCGTGATTCTTGCTGCCATGGGGACCCAAAGGTGGATGACGGGAAAGATCCTTTGCAAAACAGGAGTCGATTTAGTCAATGCCACTGATCCAGAGCTGGTCAAGTTCATGGGAGACATTTACTACGGACTCTTTCAGGGTGGCAAAACCCGCCAGTGTGGGTTGGGTGGGCGCCGCTCCAAGTTCACAAGTAAGTACAATTTTGGTTGCATCTTCAGTCTAAAGTCTTTAAAAGGACCCTATTCTTGTTTACGGAGCATGTAGTATGCAAGTCATTATTATTAAATTTGTATTTGTGGCTCACGTGGTCTTTATGGTTTGAGATCTGAATGTGAATGTGAAATCTACATCCTTTGGGGGTAGGGTTTTTTTCAGTTACATTCTCAGATGCAATCCTGGAATCAAGATTAAAAAAAAAACATCCATAAGGCTGGAGACAGGGTTTCCTTTTAGTCTTCTGGACAGAGTGGAGCTCGCTGTATCTGTCGGGCAGATCTACAGAAGGAAGGATGACTGGAAATGTCCCTATAACTCATAGTTGCTCCTTACCCAAATCCTTCCCAGGCCAAGTGTTCTCCACAACATCTCCCACCTTGTCTTCTGTGTCAGACTCCTCCCTCTTTCTTCTTTTTTTTTTTTTTTTTTTTCTCTCTAAGAACTAAAGATTTATTTAGCTGATCTCACGTATTTCTCTAGCTGTCGTAATGTCTCAAAAGTACTCAGATGTTGATCTGTACTTCGGATAACTTTGAGTTTTCATTTACCATGTGCATTACTAGAAATAATATTTTGCATTGAAGACCTGTGGCTTGGTGGGGCGATTAAGTGCTATAAACTGATCCTCACCTGAGTGAGGGAGTCTCACCTCTCTGTAGGGTACACGTGACCATGGCCTGCAGCCACACTGTCCTGCCCCATCCCTTGCAGCAGTGCTGGAATGTGGCTGGGCATTGATGTAGTGCAGGAAGTTAAACTGGTTGAAAATATACCTACAGAAAATGAGCTGGTTTCCCATAAGCCCCTCTCACTATCCAGGCTCACTATTACCCCAGGATGAGTTACTTGAAAGACAGCATCTTGAATTTCTGCATTCTGCATTTTGTACAGTACAAAGCTTCCTGAATAATCTGCTAAAACTCCAATCTGTTTATTTGTTTCTAATATGAGGTATCTTCTTTTTAGTCATACAATTAGGCAGTTGCACCTTCAAAACCTGTATGAGCGTGCAGCGCTTAACTTCCTCATCACTTTTCTCAATCAGCTTACATCTTTCCTGTCAGCTCCAGTTCCCACTCAGGTTTCCCCCAGCTTTGTTACTAAAGAGCTCAGGATAAACTGAGTACTCAGGTGCCACAGCTCCCTGCTGCTGGCTGGTTTGGTTCTCCAACTTTCTGAAAACAGAAACAGAAGAAAGTCACCATTCTTGCTTCTTTGTAGAGGCAGATAAATGAAAGCCTCACGAACTAAGAGGTGTGTAACCAGCTGTAACTGACTGCATCTGTAAAAACTCACCAGGATAACTGGGGCTCATGGCATGAGCACTGTGTGATGTTTACCATTGTCAAGAAAAACTATGTGGTGAGCAAATGATTTTTTTTTCTTCACAGTTTTCCCGCATATGGTGAAAAAGCTGAATACAGGCCTGCATGTGATGATTATAATGTTCCTTTGTGCGGCCCTTTCCTTCTCTCTGGTCAGTTTTGGATTCTGCATCCTTAACGCAATCAAAGTTCCCTACCGGGCTATTAAAGGTCCAGCAGGATTATGCCTTTGGAATTTCCTTGCAGGTAAATCAGTTACAATTATTCTTCCATCAGTCACATCCATATAAAATGTAAACTTGCTTCCCTTGTCTTATGATGTATCTCCTTGATTTAAAAACATATAAACAAAGTGAGGTTAGCAGTAACTTCTCATTTATCAAAACAGAACTGTCAGATGGTGTTTCCCCCTCTTTTGCCTAGTCAACATTTTACAGGAGCTGCAATGTCAGTCTTTAGCCTCCAAATCACTCCAAAAGGACTTTATTATAAGCACTGCCATTAACGTTATATAATAAAGACTAAGCATTTTGCAGGTGTTTAAGCCATGCCTTAAATCTATCCCTATTCTGTGTAATACCTATGCATTTAATAAGCTTTTCCGAAGCACAATCAGCATGTCCAGCTTGTTTTGCCAACAATGCTGAATACTTTCTCATTTTATTCCAGGTGGACTTATAGTACTTGCAGTTACCAGCTTTATAGCTGCTGTAAAACTTCATCGTCTCACAGAAAGAATTGCCAATTTTCGGGAAAATGTCTTTCAGTTTGTAATTCTAGAAGAACAGTTTGAAGACTCTTTTTGGCTCTGTGTGGCAAGTGCCACAGCACATGCAGTAAATTTGTTGGTAATAGCCATAAGTTGGATTAATTTTCCTAAAATTAAGACTAAAACAGAAGAAGCAAATGTTGCACCGGAAGATATCATGTACTGATAAATCTACATAAAAATACTTTTATGAGGTGAACTGTCACAACAGAAACAGCTTATTGGCTCTTCAGCTTTTGATTTGGATGGACAGTTTTGGTGCAGTCATCACTACAGATGCCACTTGCAAACATCTTCAGCATTTTTTAAGCTCAGTCTACATTACCAGCAATTAATGTTGAACGTGGGAAAAAGAAATGCTAGACGTGCTGGAAATATCTTCATGTTCAAAACAGACCAATATATGCAGTGAATATGCTACCCTCTGTAGTTTTTACAAAATTTGCACATGAGATATTTTAGAAAACTGTGGTGAAATATGTCTTTTTTGTTTAGAAAGAAATATATGTATCATAAATCTTTGATAATACAGATTTATTTCAAAAAAAAAAAGGAAGAATAGACAAAATTATCTGCAAAATCTGAGAGGACAACGTGAGGTATGGTTGATGATGTGCTATAGCACTGGAAAAGAGAACTTCAGTATCCGAGAAGCTAAAGCTTAGGAGAAACGCAGAGCTAAATATGTGTGAAATGGTTTTAAAACAGAAAATATCAAACCCTAAAAGTTAAGAAGTGGGAAAAATTAAGTTTATAAAATGCTGATAGATAAAAAAAAGATTACCAGCAAGATGAAGGTTTCACTGCAGCCTACCAAAAGAAAGGAAACAATCCAAGTAACAGTGCTTTCAGATCACTTGAAAAATAATATTATGACAGATTAATAGTATTCAGACCTCTGCCAAATCTTTTTTTTTCTCTTTTTGAAATCAAGTGAAAATAATGAATGCTGGAACAGTACTAAAATGAAAACAAAAATTTTAATGGTTAAAGGCATTTAAAAGCTCCTTTGTTATTAAGTACCAGAAATTTCACAAGCATTCAACCAATTTTCAGGTCATAAGTAATGAATATTTCAGTGTAAAGAATATGCAATAAAGCATGTCATTTTTTAGAACATAACTACCATAGGGAACACATACAAATTTTTTAGTGATAGAAATTGCAGATAATGGAACAATATCTCAACATTAATGAAATAAGTTATCATCTAAATAAATGTTTAGAAGTTATTTTGCATTCAATTACTCATAGTCAAACCATCAGGTTTGCCAAATCTATTGTTGTGAAAAGCTCTTCAAAGAAACATAACATCTTTTAGGAAAGAGATCTGAAGTGTTAAAAGAACATGTCAAGATATAAGAAAAAATCCTTGATTTTTATTTGAAAATACCTCTTCACAAAGATAGCACTATAAAGACCTACTATTTTCAGAAGTGCCTATAACCACAGTTTATGTATCCAAATAGCTAGCTTTATAACCCATATGTGCGGAACATTCAGTAAAGGCAGTTACCTGAGTAGCAGGTATTCAGTATGTTTGTTGGCGAGGCCACTTATTTAGATAATTACATAAGGACTTTTACCTTAAGGCTCTGAGTTTAACAACTTTGGCCCCAATACTTATTTTTCTTGCTCTTTTCACTTTGTTTTTTTTTTATCTAGAGACCAATGAAAATGGATGTTTTATGACGTAAAGCCTATTTCCATTTGGTATTCTTATAAAATCAGTTTTTTCATTATAATATGCTGCTCAAAGTACTCTTAGTTTACAAAACAGATCCCAACCACAGCATTCACTAAACAATGAGGTGACATAACCTGCACAAATGCGTTCTTGACCACATTTCTCCAGCAGTTTATGATGATGCATTTCATGTACAGCACATGTTCAGCAAGACCTGCACGCTTTTGGCGCTCAGTGCTGCACCTCTCCTGTTTTGGCCTGACAAGGAGGAACAGAAATTGGTGAGACTGCTTTTGGTAACACCCTTCTTCAGGAGCACTAAAATAAATAACCAGACCCCATTAAGATTTAAAAAGCTGTTGGGGTGTTTTGATAGATCTGGAGCACTGTTACAATTTTAGCATGAAGGGGGCTCAGTAACCGGGCAGCAAGCCCAATGGCTAGCCCAGTTCCCGGTATCTTACAGCACAGCACTAGCCACAGGTCTAGCCATGTTGATGTCCTCCGTGACGCCACAACCTTCCCCTTCCAGCAAATTTTAAGGGACTTCAAAATACAATACCTTAAATTACAATATAATTATACAAGTAGTTCAGTATAAAATGAAACACTTGTCATTTGTAATTGTTCTGTAAACATGTAACTCAGTGGTACATTAAAAATATATTGTAACACACAATTTATCTATTACTAAATATAACTCTTCAGGAAGTGAGTAGAAAGCAGATTTGGAGATGCCTCATGTAGAAAGCTTCAGAAATTACTTTCAGTAGTGCTATTTGCATGGATACACAATCCTCATACTGCTGACAAACTGCATAATCCTCCCCCCCCCAATTAATTATTAAGCAACAGCAGTGGGACTACTCACTGTCAGGTGGGGACCACGGAGGCCACAGGGAAGCCGTAGCCAGTCCTCAAAGAACTAGAAACTGATCCTTGGAACTGGGAGACTCTCCGACTCTCCTAAGTACCTGAAGGAAAATAATCAGTTACCACTTTGATTTTTTTAAAATGTTGTGATTTAATGTTTATAATTCAATTTTACAGAACAAATCCAATTGGATTCAATTTCCTTCAGCCCTTGTCTCTGAATGACACTGTCCTTATGAGACATACGGTGCTTCTACCGACTGGCACAAACCCACCTGTGGCGCCACGATGACTGAGGTTCTTGGGTGATTTTCCTGAGGAAAGGCTGCCACGGTCACAGTCAACTGACTGCCTCCTCTTCCCTCTTTTCCAGTGTCACTTAGAGATAGTTGCTGCTTCCTCTTAAAACCTAACAGGCCCTGCCCTGCCAGGCAGGGTGGCTTCACACTGCTTGCCCTGCACGGCGAACAAGTAATTTTGTTTGACCCGTTAGTGGGCAGATCGTATGCACAGCATGTATATCAAGGGATTGTTTTGCTTATTTACTTTAAATATGGGACATGTTTACAGGACAACATCACACATGAAAAAATATAAATAAATAAATACACAAATAAAAAG